AAAGTTGCTGCGGTTGAGAAACACTGCTGTAATCCAAAGTAATTAGAATCAACCTGGAAGAATTAAAGACTGCACCATTCATTAATTCAGAAGAGAGGACCAAGGAATGATTACCATATTAAAACTAAAATCCTCCGGCAGCAGAAATGCACCAATGTCCTTAATCCAGTAAGAAAAGCAAACATTAGCTGACCTCAGTTTAGGAAGCTGCACTCAGTAGGCAGAGGGTACTGACGCATCCTATTGAACCAGGCAGTGAATTATGCTCCTAGGAGCACAGGGAGTGTGGAGAAAGACTGTCCTCTCACTTCCCAAAGGTTCTGTGTGAAACCAATGGAAAAACTAGCCCTCTTTCAAGAAATTGGAAAGGCTGGGTCGGACAAAAATGGGGAAAAGGAGCTAGCCTAAATATTTGAAAACCCTTTTTCTTTTGCTATTTTCAAAGCCAAGAGAAAAGCCTCAAACAGTCACATTTTGTGAAATGGCAAACATTTTTTAATTTCCACAAAAGAGTAAAAAGTAGTGGCTTGAATACCGATATGCAGTTAGGGATCTCGTTCATTCTCTTTGGGTTCTGAAATCCTTGCAAACGCCAGCCTCCCTTAACATGATCATGCAGAGTTGCAAGAGACTCTTTTCTGCAAATGCAGGGAGGGAACTTGTCCAGGTCTCTAATGGGCTATTACTTAACAGAAGATGGTGCCTCGAACCTTGCCCTAAACCAGACAGGTGCAACCTTCCCTCTCTGCTCAGATGCCATGCCAATGCTTCTTCCACGTAAACACCTAGCAAAGCATGAAGCTCTCCTCACTTTGCGCATGTAAGTAACTGCTGGCGAGAGCAAAACGGGGGGCTTCAGCGGATTGCAAGAAGGAGCAGAAGTTGGGAAACAGACAATCCAGTGAACCAGAAGGTGCACAGATGAACTAAGGGAGGGTACCTCAGACTCTTGCCTCTGAATAAGGACTACTTACGTATGCAGGTCCACCTTACAAAATGGCTGTGACCAGCAAGAAAGGAGGCAGAAATTGTTCACATCTTGTTCCTTATTTCCTCAAAGCCTCCCCCACCTACTGATACAAGCCCCCTGCCTTTTATGAAGGGAAAACAGGATGGTGTCCACTGCAAATACAACATGTACAACACCAGCAAGGATGAAGCAGTATTTCCTAAAATTGCTTCCTTCCAACTTTACCTTTCTGGGGGGGGAGAGTATATTTGGGAGGTGATGAAGGGGAGAATTGTTTTCCAAAGTTTCTTTGTTAAAAAATAGAAATACAGACACAAATAAAGTCACTGACATACATTGTCCAGTCTAATTGTACCGCACAGCTCATGAAGTAAAGTGTGAAAGGAAATGACACATCCTATTTTTTTAAAAAAATACTGGTAACAAATATATTCCTATGAAAGGTTAGCTTTTCTTTTCGTTCTCCAAAATTAAGTGCTACAAATTTTGGGGGGAATGAGGCATTTGAGAAAGGCTGGCTTTTTGTTCAAAAAAGAGGACAGCCTTTACTGCATGCTTTGGTGATGGTTAGGCTCCTAACCTTACCAGCAAATGGCACACATTTCCTTTGCCACCATAGTAAAAGGGGTAACAATTTGCTTCCAAGAATCCGCCAAAGCATAGTAAGGATATCCTATACTGTATTCCAGAGGCTTCAAGGTTTCACTGCTTATCCTTCTATAGGACCCCTTTCTCCCCACAACTTCTTAATCACATTCTAACAACATTGCTTTTGTAAGCATGACCCAGACTTCTGCCAGTGAAGAAACTGATCTTCAAATCTCAAATCTGATAGCCCTGAAGATACTCATTCACTGCTCCCTCCTGATTCAACAAGATTGTTTCTCCTGAATCAGAAAGGGAAAAAACAATTTTACTCTGATAAAATTTTACTCTGATAAGGATCCACCCACACCAGGAGCTGTTAAATATGTTGACATTTTCAAACATTTATGTTGATTTGGGGAGACCGAATTTTAATCAGGGCTAGTCCTCAACACTCAATTTTCAGTGTCAAATTTGAACCTTCCTTGTCTTGGAATTTGAGAAGAAATGGCTTTAAAATTCACAGGTTCCCACTGAGAATTATTTGGAGGAGCACCAACCTGCATAAGACTGGCTCTGCATCTTATCACTTTGGTCTATAAGATAGGCCACCTGGAGAATTAGTAAAACCAGCTTGAAGGAAGGCAGCTGCAGAAAAAGCAGCCAAAATCCCCTTTTAAAAAATTATTTTGAGCCTCTGACAGCCACAGAAGATCAGGGCAATGCAGTGATATCACTCGAGTGAGCAATTTCAAAGACCCATATTTTTAATAATATTAATTTTCTCTTTTTAATAAGAGGATTTACACGAATCAACTCTGTCAGGCCTCCCAAATGTTTTATCTGTTTTATAGCTTAGTCCAAAAAAAGATAAAGCAATTGCAGTGCCCCAAACCTCCAAACATTAATGGCTCTAGCTTGGAAGCCACAAATGGTGCACTTCTATTTTAGAAAAAGACTGCCTCTAAACAAGGAACCAATCATGGATAGTTGCAGACTGGAGTCCAGAGATTCCCTTCTCTGCCTGGCTTCAGGGACAGAAAGAACCACTAAAATGCTTCCTTGGGAAGAAGAACAGATGCCAAAAAAGAGAGAAAATCTGGCCGATTGGTGAGAGCAAGGAATTCTGAGCCAAAGGTATCAATAATCTAGTCTGAGCAGCATCAAGCATAGACCTCTGAAAAGAAGTATCCATCTTCTCTGGGTGAGTCAGGCCATTCACCTACTTGCTAAATCATCACTCCATAATGGCAACTGGCCACTTTGCTTGGCAGTGACCATCACACAGACAACTGAACCAAGATAGTCCACAACAACTAGTTCTGTTGACTTGGACATAATAGGAAACAGACTGGTAGACCTCCTTCATTCTGCAATGCGAACAAGCCAAACATTTTGCTGCCATAACCACTAATCCTGATAAACTCATCTCTTGGTTATGGGTTGTCCTTGATGAGGTCAAGTTGTACTTTTTAAAGGGCCAGGTTTGTCTCTGAGGACCAAAGGTTTGCTTCTGTTCAGCGATCCCTGCTTTTATAGAAGGGAGGGTATCCAGGTCAACCTGTTTCAGTGTCTCCCAAGAGCTCACTAAAACAGAGCTATAGAAGTGAGGGAAATAAATGTAATCACTGAATATCTAGGATAAGGAGAAAAGCTTTGAAGTTTATGCTGAAGCTAAAACTAGTATTTCATCTAGGACTTTTTTCTCCAAATTTCCATTAGCATTTTGGTATGGAGCATGATTTCCAAAGCCAACCTCCTCATTTTTTAAGTCCCACATTTGTCACTGAAATCAGACTATTGTGATCCAAAACTCTGCATTTAAGTAAAAACCCCACATTTTATTATAAACCTGAAGCTTCAGTTGTAATACCTCTCATCTGAACTTCAATATTCCCAATTCCTATTTAGAATTTGCACTATATAAATCTGAGTTCAATTTTAATTTCCAAAAACTTAATTTGTAATTTGTACAAATTAATTTGTAACTAATTACAAGATCAGTTAAGCATCTATCAGATGTCCAGGCTAGAAAAATAAAATCTGACATACTGTGAATATTATGCACAAGATTACAAAAAAAAAAAGAAATCAACAAGCACCAAAAATATACATAATTCTTTTTCAAACTCTTCCACCCATCCCTTAAAGTACCCTCAAAGAAAGAAAAAAGGGCTCACATTTTTATATAAAGAAATTATAATTCTCCAGGACATATAGTTCAGTTGCTATTTTACAGAGAAAGATTCATCTCTTTAGTTTATGGCTCATGATTATCAAAACGCTTCGGGGGAAGGAGGCAGAGGACCAACTTCAAAGCAATGTAAATACCTACTGATATATCTCATTTTCCATTTCCATTATCATTACACTCTGCACCATGCAGATGGTGCAGCTATTGGTGTTGCCATTTTACATCTGCAAAATGACAAGCCAAACCACATGGCTTCAGAAATGGAGGAACAGATTTCCCCATGAACCAAACTGAAGACTCATTAGTAGCAGTAACAATGACTTCTGTGGTAAAGCCAACCATCAACTTTAGTAAGGCTCTCCACCGAAGCAGCACTGCACCTACAACTGTATGACAATGCATTTTTGAGTTTGCCAACTTTGAATGTAAACTTCCACACACCACCCTCTAGCACATCATTTGCAGCCCTGAGAGCCCCCACCTTCCTGAGTAAGCAGGGCTGAAAAGTTCAGATCCATTTTAATTTATTTGGGAGATTTAAGAAGAGAAATGAATGGCTTACGCCAACAGATGCCAAGGCGCCCATAACACTCCTTAAAGTGCCCATTGCCTCAAAAGTTCAGCCCTGCCTATTCTGTTGATGTCATATGGCTAATTACCACCCATTGCAACATCCATCAGACACTTGGTATAGGGGACTGTATTCCCCCATCCCAGTGAGACTCTGCCTGGCCCAACTTCATGCCACCAGATACACACACACACACACACACACACACGATAATATTTGCATGGGGATCTGTCTATGTGAATCCTAACGTGTACATGCTAAACTGGACAGCAAATCACAGTAAATCCAAGGAATTGTATTTTCTGCTTGGCTAACATACTTTGGATTTACACAGTCCCCTGTGTAGATGATACAGCCAACATGAAGTATGAGAAGTATGTTGAGAGCGCAAGCAAGCATTTTCAATTCCACTGTCTCTCACTGCACTTTAACCCAAACACAGTTATAACAAGAATAATTAGAGGCAGAAATCAGGAGTGGGGGGTAGTTATCACAATTTTCCAGGTTTTTGAGGCCAATAGGTGATGTAGTAAATACAAGTTTATAATGATGGGATTATTAGTTATTATTTCAATCCTCCCTCATCCCCCAATTTGGAAAATACTCAACTGCTTTTTTTTTTCTTCCTGATGGCTCAAGTATTTTTGAAAATTGAACACATCAAATCCCA